GTTGATTTAGAGGTTCTAATTACACTAAGTAACTGAATAGCCTAGTTAAGAGGGCAAAACATCAGGTACAGTTTGCAGCAGACAATCAAATAATGTAAACAACCCTGGTTATTTTTCTCTCTCGGCTTCTGCCTTTCCTACGTTGTGCTTTCTTGTTTATGATGACTGTTAATGCAGTAGCAAAATGGTTGTAGTAGCTCCAAGCCTTGCCTATTGACAACAGCAAAATACCGTGGAGCTTGCTAGCTCCAATGTCTCTTGCATCTGAATGACTGATTTTATTTGCATAGCTCAAAACCAATCACCATATTCAGAGAGTTGGGTTATGTCAGTCTGGTCACATCCCAAGAGGTGGTATTCATCGATTGCCTGCAAGCCCTCTTGTAGGTGCTGGAGATGATGGTTAAGTTGCAACCATATACCTCTACTCTCTCCCTGGCACTCCTTGTGTTCCTTCCTTGTTTTATTTTTCTCAATAGCATTAACTACCTTCTAATATACTATTTGTTTTACTCCCGTAGTGGGTCATCTGCCTCTCCTTGTTGGAATGTAAGCTTCACGAGGGTGTATGCATTTTTGCCTGTTCAGATCACTACTCCATCCCCTGCCCAGCATATATAGGGACTTAACAAATATTTGTTTTGAATCGAAGAATAAAGAGACAAGGTTCTTACTTTTGTAGGCTTATATGCTCATGTATTTGTATTATTTAAGCAAGGAAATATTTATATTAAGCAAGAAAATACAGTTATGGGTAAGTGTTTTTAAAATAAAACATGGTGATGGGAAAGCAAATGTGAAGGGTGGTTTAATGTGGGTGACAATTCCACCTCAGTTGCTGGGCCATTAACAGAAGAGGCATGAGTGACCAAAGGAAATTCCTGGAACGGTACCAGAGAAAGTCACACTGGAGATAGAGATAATAGAAATGGTCTTTCTTGCAGAGAGCATCTTATGACTTAAACTAGAAACACAGTTATACCCTTTAGAGAAATCACTGTTTTCAAGATTTTTGCTAGCTGCTGCTTGGCAAGTTTTGTGAACTTTTGTTGACTTTTAACTTTATGTCACTCATCTCTTAAAACTGTAGATCACTTTTGTCTTGCTAGGTACAATGTCGGTGTCGTACGGTCTTCATTATGTGCATGTGGGTCGCACATTTCTGATGTCAGGCTAGCTTCCTTCCTAACACTTCCTTGCACCATTCCAGCAACATGATCTTAGGGCATGTAAGACCATTTTAAAGTTAGTCTTAAACATCACACACACGCATGCACACACGAACGCACGCACACATGCACGCACGCACGCACGCACACACAGGGACATTTTGGGATTACAGTGCCGTTAAATTGAATGTATAACTGGAATCAAGTGACATTTGAATGGGACATATTCACAGAAGTCATAAGCTCATATTTGAGGGGCAGGGAGAAATTTAATGTAAAATGAAAAAAAGTTTTAAAAACTCACATATATACATACATATTATGTATACAAAGAAAATCTATGAAAATGTATATACTAAATTGTGTATGTTTATACATAAGAGAATGGATTTACAATCTTTGACTCCTTAACTCACCTGAGAATTAATCATGAAATGATTAAATTGAGAAAGGGAGCTTTATTACATGAAGTTGCTCATTACAGGTTTAGCTGCAAAATGAGGAAAACAATAGGAAACATCCTAAGTGTCCAAAAAGAGAATAGTGGAAATCGTAATAGTCCACCTCAAATGAGGGTGATTGTATCTTAAGTCCATTCTATAAGAAGGCAGGTAGAAGTAAATAAACAAGTAAATAAATAGCTTACTAAATTTGTGGAATATTATGGATTTTTTAATGATTCTACAAATATGTGGAGCATATGGAACTGTTATGATGAGATGTCAAGTGAAAGTGCAAAATACAAAACTAAGCAAACCATGATTACATCTATATGACCAATATGTATTCTGATATACACATATGAAGGAAATGTGCAAAATAATGCATATTTTAGATCTGGAGTTGTTTTTATTGTACATTTTCTTTTGAGTATATTTTAATATAGATATGCATATTTTTAATGAAATTGGCATTACATTTATAATGGGTTTATAAAAGATAGCAGACCAGTTTTCTTTAAATTGAAACCAGCAAGTAAGACTTTTTTTTTTCCTCCTGCACAGTTGGAGAGTGACAGATATCGTTGATGACCCTCACTTTCAGGATTTCCGTCTTTCAGCCAAGTTGGGAGGAAATGTTTCAAATCAAAGAGGGGAAGGATGAAGGGACTCAAGGCACTACATCTTGTTTCTCTCTCTCTCTCTCTCTCTCTCTCTCTCTCTCTCTCTGTGTGTGTGTGTGTGTGTGTGTGTGTGTGTGTGTGTGTGTGTGTGTTTTCTAGAGGCTTACACACTGTCTCAGCTTGGATTATTTCTGTCCTCAGAACAGCATATAAACATTTTGTTTTGGGGGGGAAGCTAAAATATTTATACAGCTGCTTCCTTTATTTTTTTTAAATACACAGATAATATTTTTACTACCTCATGAACATCATCATGTCTTTGTAACTAGCATGCTAAGCTTTATTTCTCTTTTTGGTAGCACGATTTTGTTGTTAATCCCTTCCACCCTTCCTTCTTCCCTCCCCTTCCTTTCTATCCCTTCTCCCACCACTCTCCTCCCCCTGCCCTTCCCTTCTTCTCCCCTCTCCTTAACTTCTTTTAAAAATTATTATCCATTAATTTGTTTGAACCTAGGGTGCCTAAAAATTCAGATGACTTGAGAGTAATTAATTGATTTCATGTTAGTATTGCAATGTTTCCCATGACAGGCTTGCAGTTTTTTTTTGGTAGGTAATCATTAATTTTACCTCAGTAAAATAAATTGCCTTTATGTATAAGCTAAGACTTGTAAAAGAGTAAATTAGTGTCCTTCACCTGCAACGCCAATTCATTCACTTTGGTTTTTCAGCCAGACACTTGGCCATTTTAGTGATTTATTGACTTAACTGATTAATTTGGTAGGGCAACTTAATTCTATAGCTCCTTCAGATATAGGCTTAAGTTTCTATCACCAAAAGGTGTTGGCAATCTAACCTGTTGGCCTCAGGATGTGCTTTGCCTTCCCTGGATTCCTCAGACTCCTATTTTTATATCAGATTCTACTTTGGTTGCTGGCATGACTTTAAGCTGGCAGGGCAAAGGGGGTTTCTTGAAGGTGACTATCTCCTCAACCTGTCTGACTTCGACAGTTGGGTCAAGGAAGGAAAAAAATGGTATGGTGCAGCAGGAACTGGGTTGTTGAAAACTGTTATTTTTATTTTTATTTCTTGAGTTTGCACAGAACTTAAGTTACCAGCTTTTGATTAGCAATATAAATTTAAATTTTGTCTTGGGCAAACTTACTGAAAACTCCTTTAGGCACTTTCCTCACATCAATTTTTTAAAAAAGAGAGGTTAATAGAACACTAGCTACTATTTTCTTTTCTTTTTAATGCCACATGATCCATATATCATAGAAGGTAGAAAACTAATTTTGTACTTGTGCTAACTGAAATTGTGAGCATAGTGGTTGTAGAATGCTAGTGGGTGTTTTAGGCAGAAGACTTCGTGCACTTGAATGGGAGCAGAAGACAGGTGGCTCAGGGTATCTGAACTTCACACTCGCATGCCTAGAACTGGACTGCATAGTGAAGACAATTAATGGGTATTGCCACTGTTTTGATCAGAGGCTTGTGTTTCTGTCCTGAATATTTTCAAAACAAGAATTTTGTCAAGAAGTAAAGGTCAACATCAGCTCTGTCTAAAGGCTCTTAATTTCTATTTCTTTGGTGTTGCACCATAAATGTATACATTAAAAGGATTATATAAAATAAGTGTGACTTTTTACATTATATTTCTAATGCTTAAGTATGTATAATTAAAGTAATCAAAAATATAAGATGGTGGCAAATTCAAAAATTTTAAGCTTTGCTAAAACAAGGTAAATTAACTAAGGCATTTCTGCTAGCAGCTATTTTTTTTGCCTGTCAGTTACTGAGTTTGAGAAATGAAATACAGATTTGAGAATGACCTTGTTATTTCATCTTTAAACATTAAAAGTTTAGTAAACATAGCCTCACATTACTGTTTATTTTAAGAAAAAAGTTATATTAATATTATACACATACTTTTTTTCCTGCTCTGTGATCTAAAACCTGCTGGAGACAATATATAGGCTTTCAATCATAAAAAGTTAACAACTTTTAAAATCCTGCAGGTTCAAGTCCCAGCTGTCAAAAACTGATTCTAGGCTGCTGCAGCTAATGTACTTTCTTTTGAGAGGCTGAACCCTGTCACGGGTGACAGCTGACCCACTTACTCAGACCTTGTTAAAGGACCAGGCTTCTTTTATAGGTCTTCAGATTCTCCCGAGATGGTCTGTCATGACCAGCTATGAATGCTGAAGCTGAATTTATTTTAGCATTTGTGTAAACTATCAGTTTTGGAGGAATGGTTAAAATTCTGACACACTGTCCTGGAAGAGTGTTTTGAGTTCCATTTTGAAAGGAAGGCTAGCAGATGCTGTGAGTTTGGTTATAGAGCCTCTTCAAGTGTGAAGACACTTTTTGTTTTTTAATCAGTTGTTTGATTTTTATTAATATAATTAACTTCATACCTTCCATTTGTGAGATGCCAGGATTTTTCTACCTTCTTGGTAACTTTTTAGGGAAGTAGGTATTTCCAGGTGCAAAACTTTATGACCTAAATAATTTGTAATCCTTTCCATAGTATATGCAAGTATTTTAAAAGAGTCAGGTGTCTGAACAAAAGCCATCCAAGATTGTGGTTGGCATTTGTGTATTTGCCTTAACATACTTATATTGGCTTTAGCATATTTTCTCTAAAGCAGGGGTTCTCCAGGCCTTGGACCTGTAGTGGTTCGTGGCCTGTAAGGAACGCGGCCACACAGGAGGTGAGCGGAGGGCCAGGGAGCATGACTGCCTAAGCTCCTCTGCCTTCTATGCAGCAGTGGCATTAGATTCTCATAGGAGAATAAACCCTATTGTGATCTAGGTTGCGTGCTTCTTATGAGAATCTAATGCCTGATGATCTGAGGTGAAACAGTTTCACCCTGAAACCATCTACCCACCCCTGCCTTGTCCATGAAAAAATTGTCTTCCACGAAACTGGTCCCTGGCACCAAAATGTTTGGGGACCACTGCTCTAAAGAATATGTGCTATTGCAATGCAATTTAGGTATAGGAGTTTATGTTGCTTTTGCCTTTCTGTTTTCATTGTGTAAATTATCAGCCAAAACTTTTGTTAAAGGACTGATATTCTTGGTCTGTGTTCCCTGGACACACTTTGTGATGATTCACACTGGTATTGATTAATGGCATGACTCATAGCAGCAGGCACTGATAAGTTCAGGACCTCCCCTTGTTGACTTTGTGGGTCATGAATTGAGCATCTTGGGAGAGGTGTTTCCTTGAGATAGGAGTAGCCAACACCCACATGTATTAGAAAACTTTGTGATATGCACTCTAGCGAGCACATACACACACATAGGCATTTGAAAGGGAAGGGAAAGGAATTAGTGTCAGTTAATTCTTTGAAATGTATATCATTGTTTCAAAAGATTTGGAACATTGGTTTGTGTGATGTGATATGAGAAGGGGGAAGTCTTCTTTACAGTAAAGAAGGAAGGGCCATACAAAAACATGGATCTTAAGTGATTTTTTTATGTACAGGGGTTGTAAATCTCATACTCCATTTATTTACAGATTAGTCATATTAGATAGAAATCTGTGTAGCAGGGAAAGTGTAAGCAATTTATCTTTAATGGAAGGGGTGGATGGGAGGTCGTAATCTCTTCTACCACTTGATAAGATTTGATTAAAGGAAAGCAAGTTAAGTATAATAATTATTTAAACCTAATCTTTTATGTCAAAATTAATATTACATGAATTTTGAATTCTGTATTTACTGGAAAGAAACCTATAAAATCTCTGTGCTGTGTGAACATAACAGATTTTTGTGCAGTGAGGTGTGAGACAGCGAGTACAGGTAGAGGGTTAGAATCCTTGTCTCCCATCAGCATTTGGGTTTGCTTATGTGTGGTTTTCTCGCTGTTGTTAGAAATAATATGTGTCTTATGAAGATGCCAAAAGAACTTGCTTTAGGAAGTTTACATCTATTGATGAATAAGTATGACATTTTAATCCCCATATTTTAAATGATGTTCGGTTACTGTTTGTTTAAAAGCAACTGAATAAAAACATCTTCAGCTATCCAGATTTCAATCTGTACAGATGACTAATCATGTGGAAGATTTGAACATAAAGGTTCTAGTGAAAAATAAAAATTAAAACAAAAAAATGTATTTGCTCCCAGATTTGAAAGTACAGAATGTTTTCTGTGCCTTTTAGATATGGGTAACTATGACATTGAAAACAATGGTAACCACGGCAAATACACCTTACAAAATAAATAAGAGAAAAAAAAGACATGGGGGTAGGGAGTAGGAAGGAGTTGGTTTAGTAACAGCTTGGTGAGTAAATAAATATTTAAACTTCATGCATTGTTACTTGTGTAATGAGATTTGCAGAGTTATGTTTTATATTACGTTTTTAGTTAGTATCTTATTTATCTTGTGTTAAATAATCCATTAAGCCAAATTTAAGTGCTGTTCAGAAACAAAAGTAAGTTACAAGCTTTGTAGGTCTTAATGTCTTCATGTGTAAAAAAGCCAGAAAATTGAATTCGATATTTTCTAAAGTTTTTTCAAGCTCTTAAATTCCATAATTCTGTGACCCAGGAGGTGTCTAGGAGTCATGTGAGTAAACTTTTAAGTTTTGAAGTAACCTTAACTCCAAGACTTAAAACCCTTGAACTTGCCCAGAAATCCTTTACAAGATTTCCAGAAAGTTACCATTATACTTCCTGATTACTCTTATGGATACAAATATACAACAAACAAAAAACAAATAAGGACACATAAAGCAAACCCTGATCCTAGCAGTTTAAGAATAGAGGAAATTTATTAGAAGGTTCTGGGGCAGCATGGTCCAGTAGAATGTTCTGTGATAAGGAAAGTGTTTAGAGAATCTGAGCTATCCAGCATGGTAGTCAATAGCCATATGGGACTATTTAGCACTGGAAATATGTCTAGTTCAACTACAAGACTGGATTTTACATTTTACTTAGTTTTAATTAATTTAAATGTAAACTTTTTAGGATTTAAAGGAATCGTGGGAATAACCGAAACATCAATCTTGAGAAGAGTAGGAAGAAGCCAGGGTGGCCTTAGGGACTAAGGACTGCTTTGGGAGGCAGTAGTGGTGGGCTCTTCAGAGTCACACCATGACTCAGATATTAGTGGTACCAGGCCTGTATTTATCAGATAACAATGGCATCTTCCAGAGAGAGAAAATCTGATTATCGTTACATGGGTTTGGTGTCCACCCTCCAAATCAATCAACTGTAGGTTGGGTTGCAGAATGACTGTATGCATGTAGCAGTGCTGACAGTTCCCAGGGAAGGAGGAAGTGGGAGCCAGGCAAAGTCTTAAGAGTAGTTTGCCACATTACTTAAGAGAAATATATATTTTTTTCCCTGCAAGCATGATTTTTCTAAATTTAAAATACTCTCATTTTGTTAACTTGTCTTGCACCCAACTTATTTACCTTTTTTATTGCTAATTAAAAATAATACCACTCTATGTTGAGTAAAATTTAACTGATCTGAGAGACTAATGATCTATAACGTTGTGTAGAAGGAAATCAAAGAATATTATAGCCAAAAGCAACAATATGAGCCATGCTAGACAATGTTCTCATTTTACAGAGAGCATTGACACCAAGGCTTAGATGTTTTGCTATTTCATGTCACAAAATTATTTGCCACATTAGGGGTAGTAGATACTTGCTTTAATCTGAACCTATGTTGTTGACTAGCTACATGTTAAAACTGAGCGTTTGAAAACCATCTTTTTGAAATGTGGGGCTCTCCTGTAAATTATTATTTTCCTGTAAACTGGTAATGCTAATAATTTGCAAGAAAACTGAGTAGTACAGGTTTTAATTTTCAAGGTTTTTTTGTTTTGTTTTACATTTTTAAAGCACAAAGAAAGATCTTTGATTGAGACTGTGATAATTGTATTATTGAACCTATAAAATTAACTCTTATTGTTTAATACATTTGAACCAAATAATACTTGACCCAGGTAAGTCAAGGATAGATAGAAAGGAAAGGCATTTACTCAAAATGGCTGCTTATTTGGTCAAAGTTAGATTTCAAATTAGAGTTGGATGAGCTGTTTAAAAGTCCATGCTAAACGTGTTGAAGACTGTCCCAGACACAGGTTTTCCTCCTTTGTGTAAATCAGTCATGTTTCTGTGGTGTGAGGTGGGTGGGAGCCTTGCTTTACTTCCTGCATCTCGGCAGGCTCAGGAAGGGAAGCTTGCTAAGGTTAAATTATGTTAAATTAATTTTATCCCAGTCTTTGGACATCTATTGACAATAGTATTATTTGGGCTGCAAAATCAACAAGTGAATAGACCAAAGAAGAAATAGGGAAGAACCCAGAATAAGTGTGAGAGTCAGACACTACCTTGACAAGGGAAGTCAGGACTAAGAGCCCTGAGATCAGTCAGATCCAGGGAATGTGCTGAATGTGCTGTCATTTAGAACAGGCCCCTGGGAATTCAGGACCTGATTGTCCATGTTTTACCAACTTAGAGCAATCTTCTGGGAAGAGCTCTGGACCTGTATCTAACATGAATTCTAGTGAGGGCTGTCCATCACATTTCATTAATCTAATCTCCTTTATCATTCTATCATTCTTCCGGGTTTCACAGATAGAATAGAAAAACTGTTGGTTTTTTTTTTTTTTTTTTCCTGTTGCCACTTAGCTCTTGGCTACAGAGGCCTCTAGGTGGGTGTGAAGTGGTTATCAAGGCTTTGACTGTCAAAAACACCCCTACTCAAAATTGGCCTTAATCAGTTAAGCCAGATTTAAAATGATTTGGTAGTGGATAATCTAAGCTCATGTAGAATAGCTGCAAGTCACTTTCAAACATAGGTGAGAAGTTAATATATTCTCATTTTCTAGACTAGCTTTTCCTAGGAAAAGGTATGGGATGGAGGGATATCAAATATCAATTTTTGTGGATATGGAAAGCTCTATGAATGTATGTATATTTATAGGCCCTCTGAGGTGTAATTGAATGTATGTTGAATGGAAATTCTTCTGTTTTCCTCCCCAGATTTGTCATTTGAGAACCTAGTACAGGAAGAAAGACCCTCAATAACTAGCCTGCCTGTCTTTGTTATATGTAGGCAAGTATTTTGATTAATTTAGGGATGATTTTTTCACTTTTTAAAATTAAAATGAAATTATGGAAGAACCTAGTGTGTTTTCTTACTTGAGTTGAATGCTGAATGTTTAACCGCTTTCTTATTACATTTGATTGACTTATAAAACCATCTGTATCATAGCCTAAATTACTTAAGAATTTCAGAAAGTTGTGGCAGAATTTTTGATACATTCTCAGTCATAGCCAACTCAATTATATTAATTTTTTTGACAAATCAAATTGTATTGTAATGCATACACATTAAATTTTACTTAGACCAAAGAAGGGTTGGGGCGGGGCGCGGTGACTCATGCCTGAAATGCCAGCACTTTGGGAGGCCGAGGCGGGCAGGTCACGAGGTCGAGAGATTGATACCATCAATCTGGCCAACATGGTGAAACCCTGTCTCTACTAAAAACACAAAAATTAACTGGGCATGGTGGCGTGTGCCTGTAGTCCCAGCTACTTGGAAGGCTGAGGTAGGAGAATCACTTGAACCTGGGAGGCAGAGGTTGCAGTGAGCCAAGATCGCGCCACTGCACTCCAGCCTGGCGACAGAGCAAGACTCTGTCTCAAAAAAAAAAAAAAAGAAGAAGAAGAGCCAAGACTTCTTTACTGGTTCTCACCCCCTCTTACCTGTTTAAGAGCATTGCCCTAGGAAATCCTCTTTTCTGCATCAGCAATTTGTACTCTTTGCTGGATATTACTCATTAGCAGAAGATGCCATAGTTTTTACTGTTTTGAAATAATAAATCTTCTCCTGAGCCCATGTTCTTATCCAGTTACTGCTGCATTTCTCTTCAGAGCCAAACTCTCCAAAAGAGTTATCTAAGTTCACTGTCTCGAATTACTCTCTTCCCATTCTTTTTTGAACCCTTTCCAATGCTCTTCCTCCTTCACTACTTCAGAGCCTGCTTTTGTCAAAATCTCTAATAACTTTAGTGCTGTCAAGTCGAATAGCAGGCTCATCTAATTTAACTTAGCATGGCATTTAACACAGCTGATCACACTGTCTCTCCCAGAACACTTTCTTTGCTGGAGTACTGGGACATCACATACTCTTGGTTCTCCTCATGCATCATATAGGCTGTTCTCTCTCAGTCATTTTTTTTCCTTATTTCTTCTTCGTTTCTCCAGCCTCTAATCATTGGGATGCCCCTTTTTCTTTTCTATATAATACACTTGTGGAGTGAGCTCAAACATTCTTCTTTCATGTATGACACTGATGGTTTCCAGTTTTTATCTACAGTTTGAATCTTTCCTTAGTGCCTCTAGTCTCATATGTACAAATAACCTTCTTAACACTTCCACTTGCCTGTCTAAATTAACTTGTCCATACACTCAGACTCTTGCTTTCCATTGTTCTTTCTGACAGTAACAGTGGCCTTCATGATACTTATTTAAAAAAGAAAACAGGTTCACAGCTTAAAGCCTTTATATTTATTATTACCTGTGTTTTCCATGCTTTTCTCCCAGATACCCACATGGCTTATTTCCTCACCTCCTTATATCTGCCCAAATATCATTATTCTCAATCCAGCTACTTTCTCATGTTAATTTTCTCTGTAATGCTTATTTGACGTGCTGTATATTTCTCTTTATTGCTTTACATTCCACGAATATATGCTCTAAGAGGGCAGTGAGTTTTGCTCATTTTGTCACCAATGTATTGCCATTTCCTACTACAGTGCCTGGTCCACAGTAGGTGCTCAATTAATATACATTGAGGGAAAAGACTACGTGAATATTACTACCACAATGATGTTACAGTTGATTTCAGTTCTAGGAACTGAAAATGTGAAAGTGCTTTAGTAAGTTTCTCCTTTGAGACTTCTTTAGATAACTTACTTCTTTGGGAGAAGAAACAGCGGCGCCTTATCCTTAAAGGAAGATTTCCATTGTGTGCCTTTTTCTTCTGCAGTCATCTCTGAGCAAGTTGCTCATCCTAGCTTCTTCTTGGAGTGAATCTCTTCTCTGAACTTCTCTTGGCTCTTCCTTCTTTCAGGTTGGCTTCTGTTCACGGAGCTTAGTTCTGCTTCCTGACCTCACAGAGCTTGCCCTTTTTATAGTAAAAAGCCTGTGGTGATGTCATTGGCTCAGCTGGTTTCAATCAGGCTGCTCAGTTGAAGCTGGTGAATGACTCTGCAAGTTATCTTTTGGAGGGCTATACTTATTCTGATACAAAATACGCAGTTATATACAGCATGAAGCATTTAGCAATTATCCCATGAGAATCACGGGAAGCTTTTTCTCACTCTACTAATGGAAATTCTAATTGATCATTGGCTGCTCCACAAGCACAGCAGAGTCAGGTATCCGATGTTAGTGAACTGTTTACTGGCTCTCACTCTGTTTCTACCCCTCTAGGACCTCCTGCAGCCTTTCTCTTGTGTGTTGCTTTATTCTGCTTTCTAAATGTCATTCCTCATAGCCTTAATTAAGCTACCCAAAACGCATTTCTCACCTTGAACCTCTGCCTTACTGTTACTCATCAACTCTTGGATCACACATTTCTTTTTTCTGACCTTGCCGTTTGTAAAATGTAATTGTGGCCACCCTTTCTTTTTGAATTCTAGACACTTATCTTTACATTAATCCTGTAAAAATTTATATTTTGACTTTGAACATTATGCTAACTTTTTTCAGTTAGAAGGTGATTGGCTTGTGATTTATTTTGGGGTGTTTTATTCTTCTAAGAATGATGCAAGACATTTTAATCACATTTTTTAGTTTGGCACAGAAAGGCTTTATTGGGAAATTGCTCAGTTTTCATAAAACAAATCTGTCATATTTAAAAATGGTCCTGCATAGAATATAGTGTGTATGAACAGTAGTGGCTACAGAATCCTTGTTGTTAAAGTGCTTAAACTTTTGATATTCAGTGGCACAAAGGGGCCAGATGTCCACAGGGGTGATTGTTTAAAGGGATGGTAGGGAAGATGTAAAGTGAATGTGTAGAAGGGAGGGGTGCCTATGACCAGGCTGACCTTCTAATTTATTGTCTAAATCAGGGTGCTTTGAAGATGAAAGTTATAAAAGACATAAACTGGGACTGCCCACGCAAACCCTATCTATATAGAACATTGCTGACACACCTCAGAATTCTGGGTAGGCCTGGTTGGCCTTCATGTTCAGTTGTTTTTCAGGACATAATGAAGATAATATTCCATCTCTGTGGTATCCACAATCTGCTTTATAGTAGAGCAGGAGTCTCAGGAAATGCAGTTTAAGAGCTCCAGGGTCAATATGGAGAGGTCTGTTTCTGAGCAGCAGCTACTTCTCTCTTTTTTTTTTTTTTTTTTTTTTTTTTGAGACAGAGTCTTGCTCTGTTGCCAGTGTGGAGTGCTGTGGCATGATCTCGACTCACTGCAACTTCTGCTTCCCAGGTTCAAGCGATTCTTCTGCCTCAGGCTTCTGGGTAGCTGGGACTACAAGTGCATGCCACCACGCCCAGCTAATTTTTTTGTATTTTTGGTAGAGACAAGGTTTCACCATGTTGGCCAGGAAGATCTCGATTTCTTGATCTTATGATCTGCCCTCCTTGGCCTCCCAAAGTGCTGGGATTATGGGCTTAAGCCACCTCGCTCTGCCGAGCAGCAGTTATTTCTAAGCCACTGCAGATGCAAAGATGGTAGAGGGAGTGATGAGGAGGGCATCAGGTGTCTTTGGGGCAGTTAATGGACCTAATTCTGAGGGTTAGAGAAAGGTAAAATTGGGGTAATGGGATAATGACAGGTAGACTAAGCAATCTTTAAATAAAATTTAATATATTTTAAAGACATGCTTACCTCAGTAATAAGCTTATAATTAAGAAACTGAATCGGGTAAAATGATTTTAGTGTTAAATTTATTTCATACTGTTGAATTTAAAAGTCATAGTTAAAAGAACTATTCTTGATTTTTTTTTAACTAATGGCTTTTTAAATTTTATTTTTTATGTTTGTTGCTAGAATTAAGTGGCCCTTTCTCCATATAAAGCAAATGGAGTTTTATATGCTAGATTCAACGTTGTGAACTGGGGAAAAAATATCTGGTTTTGTATAGGCTTTAAGAAAAATCAGGCCTGATCCTCTGAAGATTAGGAGGGAGATTTATAAGGCTAAAATATAGTCACTGTCTTAGTGTTATGATGTACTGCTTTGGTTTTTATGGAAATTTCTCTTTAAGAACATTGTGAGTCACTGATGTAGACAGAATTCTGAACACTCTTAGACCACTGACAAGTAGAAGCTGTTTGCAGCCAATAGGGTCTGTGATTTTTTCATAGTAGGTATTTAATAAATATTGTTGACTTGATTTGGTTTAGGTTTGTCACTGGAAAATGAAAAAGCCAATGCACATTTATAGATTGATTTAAATTTTGGTGAGCATTTTTGCCAAGCTGTGTACATTTAGAGAAATAATGGCTGATATTTTTGTCTAACAGGGATTGCAGGCATGCGTGAGGTGAATGTGAAAGATGGACCTCTGAGGAGATAAGAACCATTAGAAACATTTGCCTACCATATTATCTAAATATTCATAACTAATACAAGTAGAAGATCAATTTCTGATGAATTAGGACATTTAAAACAAATAGAGTGTTAACTTTGTTATTAAATTTAAAAAATGCATTTCTTGATATTTACCTAAATGAATTGGAAATGTAGGTTCACACAAAAACCCGTGCACAAATGTCCATAGCAGCTATATTTTTAATTTCCAAGTAACCAAGATGTCTTTCAATAAGTGAATGGATAGATGAACTGTGGTACTGCCATATGATGAGGTATTATTCAGAGATATAAAGAAATGAACTATCAAGCCACATAGAAATAACTTGATGAACTTAGATGTCAATTGCTAGTGAAAGAAGTGAATTTGAAAGGGCTGTGTATGATTCCAGCTATGTGATATTATGGAAAAGGCAAACATATGGTGACAGTGAAAAGGCCAGTGAATCCCAGGGTGAGTGAGTAGATCTGGGAAGCAAGAGCGATGAATAGGTGGAACACAGGGGACTTTTAGGACATGAAAATACCATGTATCATACCATAATGCTGGATAGATGTCATTATACATTTGTTGAAATTCATAGAATGTGTAATGTAAAGAATGAACCTCAATGTAAACTGTGGGCTTTAGTTAATAATAACGTATCAACATTGGCTCAGCAGTTTCAACAAATGTACCATACTAATGCAAGATATTAATAATAGGGGAAACTGTGTGGGAATTAAAGGGGGTAAATGGGAGCTCTGTTACCTACCATTCAGTTTTCTTTAAATACAAAACTGTTCTAAAAATATATTTTATTTTAATATGGTAAACATGCAAGGGAAAACCCTATTTCCTGTACATAGTGGATGTCTGATAAATACATGGTACATGATTGCATGATTGGGATGAGGGAAGAAATGAACCAGGTGATAATGTATGTGAAAGTACCATATAAACAAACTGCCTTACAAACACAGAGGGGGAAAGCTAGTAAGGAAAAATGAAAAACAAATCATGAAAAAAATTCAGTGAAAAAGTTTGAGAAGGCATAAGAGGAATTTGAACTAATGACTGAAACTATTTTAAACTGTTTAATTTCCAGAAAAAAATTGCATAGTTTTTATTAAATAAAAGTTGATACCTGTGCTTTCAGAGTCTGTGAATTAGAGGCACCCTCTTGACAGAAATTACTCCTCATATTAATTTGGTTGTGTTCTAGAGGCTTCAGGTTACAAGTTTCAGAGGGAGTCCTTCTCTAAAGGTGTTTTCTGTTTCCTTCATTGTTTAATATGGGCAAGTTTCCATAAACTTGATACAAATCTTGATGAGGCCAGACGAGGTGATTCAAACCTTTAATTCTAGTGCTTTTGGAGTCTGAGGCAGGAGGATTGCTTGACACCAGGAGTTCAGGACCAGCCTTGGCAATGTAATCAAATCCTATCTGTACAAATTAGAAAAATTAGCTGGGCATAGTGGTGCACCTGTTGTCCCAGCTATTCGGGAGACTGAGGCAGGATAATTTCTTGGGCCCTCAAGTTCTAGGTTGCAGTGAACTGTGATTTCCACTGCATTCCAGCCTGGGCAACAGAGCTGGACCCTGTCTCAAAAAAAACAAAAACAAAAACAAACAAACAAACAAAAAAAACCACGCACACACACACGCGCGCGCGTGCGCGCGCACACACACACACACACAGAAAATAAAAAGCGAAAAACCACACAACCCTAAAACAAACAAAAAACTTGATGAGATGTAAATGTGATGTTGCACATAACAAGCTTCCAGCAAAAAAAGATTGAAAAGCAATTAAAAAAATAGAGAAATAGGTAGACTATGGCTTGCATTATAATTTTGAGTCTTTGGTTTGAAGAAAATGTGACTTTTGTTAAATTTTAGGTAAATTTGAGAATGACCTTGATTCTTTAGATTTATCTTCAGTAATGTTAAAAGTGCAAGTTTGTTCAGGTTGTGTTGTTTTTCTCAAATAAGCCTCCTGTATTTGAAAATAATCGGAATGATTGCTGTTTGGTAGTAGTATAATTTTCTTAGCCTTATACCTTTTATGGAGAGCACTCCAGGAATATGGGTGGTAAAAGGTTGTAATATATTGGCAACTGAGTTTCTTAAGGGTTTGGCCTGAAAGAAGGTATAAGTTTCTATAGGCAGTTACAGATAAGAATATGGTACTGTGAGAGTGCAAAGGAAAAATGCTTACCTGAAGGCCTGAGGAGTCAGTGAAGGTGCTTTATGAGAAGTGACAGCTGAACCAGACCTGAGATACGGGTGGCAGTTAACCAAATAAGTTAGTGAGAGAAGGGATGTGAAAGTAAAGGAATAGTCAGTGCAGAAGCTTGGAATCAAGGCTGCAGAGAGTTTAGAGATCAGAAAGATGTTCTTTGTGGCCAGAATATATACTGTTAAGTGAGAGGGTTATAGGAAATAATGAGGCTAATGAGGAAGCAGGGTCAGTGAAAGACTTTCAGCCATGTTAAATAATTAACTTTTGGAGCCCAATCACTGAAAATGATTCAGTTTTATTTTTGAACTTTTAAACATGTTGCGATTAATAATAAAAATATGTCAATAATGATTTATTAAAGGCTTTCAATGCTATTATTTAAACACTTTATCTCATTTAAATTATTTTATTGCCAGAAGTATCTTGCATTATAAGAAAGCACCTGTTAGGTTTGTAATAATCTAAATGCAATTTCATTTGAGCTTGATTATTGGTATTTATGAAATTAAATATTAAATGAATTAAATACACTAGACTTGTGGGAAGGCTTTTTAAATTAAAGGCAGAATAAATTCCCAGAGATTTTACTAATGTGGACAAAATGTGCCTTTTTTTCCTACAGAAATGAAAAAAATATGTAATCCATGATTTTCAAGTCATAATATGGTACATAGAAGAAAAGATTTTTGTAAAAAAAGAAAGGGAGGGAGTATTTGTGAACTCTGGAAGAGTCTCACGTCTGAAGAAGAAATTGGGAAATCTGAATAGTGTTGGTTTAGTATTCTCTGTACAGAATAAGTTTGCCCTAAATTACTGAATAATTCATAGATCTTTGATCTGATTGATTGAAATAAAATAATTGAAGATTTGTTAATTTTGGATGTTGTAGCCAATTAACAGCTGAAATGTCCTTCAATACTGATTGAGTAAAGACTTAAAAATAATTTGAGACCTGAACATATTTTCTCATCTATGTCATGTTCTCCTTTTTTTTTTTTTTTTTTTTTTTTTTTTTTTTTTTTTTGAGAAAGAGTCTTGCTCTGTTCCCCAGCCTGGAGTGTAATGGCAAGATCTCAGCTCACTACAACCTCTCGCCTCAGCCTCCTGAGTAGCTGGGATTAGAGGCACTTATTATGCCTACCTGATTTTTGTATTTTTATAGAGACAGGGTTTCATCATGTCGGCCAGGCAGGTGTTGAGCTCCTGACCTCAGGAGATCCTCCCATCTCCGCTTCCCAAAGTGCTGGGTTTACAGGTGTAAGCCACCACGCCCAGCCAACCCTTAATCTACTTTATACTATTTAAGAGTTTGTCTGTGGCCAGGGACTGTGGCTCACTCCTGTAATCTCAGCACTTTGTGAGGCCAAGGTGGTTGAATCACAAGGTCAGGAGTTCAAGACCATCCTGGCCAAAATTATGAAACCTGTCTCTGCTAAAAATACAAAAAATTGGCCAGGCATGGTGATGGGGACTTGTAATCCCAGCTACTTGGGAGGCTGAGGCAGAAGAATCTCTTGACTCCAGGAGGTGGACGTTGCAGTGAGCTGAGATGACACCACTGCATTCCAGCCAGTGGAAAAAAAAAAAAAAGAAGTTATTTTGCAATTTCTTTGTGTAAAGTTTTTTTTTTTTTCCCCCCAGGTATCTAATTTTTTTTCCGTTAAATAAATTTTAAAAATGTAAGTTAAATATAGCCAATTTGCTTTTTGGCCCAGGATGTTTTCTTATTTCATCATTTTATTTTTATTTGCAATGTTGACAGTTTTATTTTAGTTCTGTAGAAGAGGTGTCATTCTTGGCCATTTTTGCTGAAGTAATTCTTTTATTCTACTCTTTCATTCATTCTGACCTTAGGAGATTTATGTATATTCAACCTTATTTTTGAAAAGTAGAGAAATAAAACTACTTATGCTTTGGATTCAGTTTCTTAAATGTGAACTGTCTCCATAAAATGCGTAATTTTAACTATTTTCCTTTATTAAAAATAGAATCTCAGAATGAAAAAATGTGTTAATTCTTTAAAAGTAACAGAAACCTTTGGTACAGGTACTGGGGAATTGTAAAAAGATTATTGATTCAGAAACACATGCCAGTTTGTATTCTCGAAACAATTAATATCTATCATACTTAAATCTGTTAAGTCATAAATTAGAGGATCAATAATCAAAATATATAAAATTTTCCTCCTTTGAACTCAGGATGATCTGAAGTTCTGATAGTACTTAAAATGACCAAAAGTCAATCTGGACAATGTTGTTTTGGAGGTCTGAAGCCAACTTAGTTTCTCTTTTGTTCCCTTCCCCCTTCTGTTGTTACCTTTCCATTCCTCCCTGGGAATAGTTTGCTCCTGTCTGCCCCCTTTCAGACATCTCCCTTACCCTAAGGGAACATTTTAAAGCATTTGGGTTACAAGGTATTTCTCCATAAATAAAGTACATGTGTTATCAACAGAGTTTGCCATTAAGCAGATTTGATACAGTGTACCCAGGGAGAGTTTTTGTTTAATAAACACTTCCTTACTGTGTGCCAGGCACCATCTGAAGTACTTTGTAGATATTAATGCATTTGATCTTATGAGGAAGATAACATTATTGTCCATATTTTGCATGTGAAGAAACTGAGGTGTGGAGAAGTAAGTGCAGGAACTGAGATTAGAACCCCAGCCATCTGTCTATATAACCATAGTTTGCTACTTCTGTGAGCATAGGAGAAGGATCACTACTAAAGAGAAGCATGCTGATGATCAGTAATGTGGAAAACATACTTTTCTTGGATGAATTTCTGTTGAATAGATAAATAAATCTTGATATAATTGCCTTGTTATCCTACATATATTGTGTATTATAGAATGAGGCATTATATCTCTGGAAGTTATCCAGGCTTTGGTGATTAACAGAACCCAGTTTAAATCCTGACTGCCACGTACTTATAATTCTTATAATTATTTATAATTCTAAGGAATTTTTTAAATACAAAATGGAACTAGTAGTACTTCATAAGGTCATTCTGGATTAATGAAATAATGAATATAACAGGTCAAGTATATTGAAGGCGTTGAATAAGTGCTATATAGTATTAAGTGCTGTAACTGGGATGATAGAAGTTGTATAGTGGAGGAAATAAACCTAGAAACAGTTTCATATAATCATATTATCAGCTATGGATAGTGAGTGAGCTATCCACAAATAGCAAGATAACTAATCTAACCTTGAGGTGTGAGGAGTGGGATGTAGGGGGAGCCCTTTGAAGCAAATTAGGCCTAACTAATAATAAAGAAAACTTCTTTCTTCCTAACTATTAAGTGCATTAATCATTATCTCATTATAGTATAATGAATAGGAATGACTAAGTTAATAGTTAAAATGTCATATTTTAATTTTATTTTAAAAAGGTAAGTTGTGTCAGTGAGCAACATAGACATTTATTCACCAACAGCAGTTTTGTTGTTTGTATTTTGTGTGTCTATAATTCTGTCTACCACATTTTTGGGCCCATCTTTTACCCTTGTTTGTGGTTTTATCTGTACTATTTTTTTTTTTTGAGACGGAGTTTCACTCATGTTACCCAGGCTGGAGTGCAATGGCGCGATCTCGGCTCACCGCAACCTCCGCCTCCTGGGTTCAGGCAATTCTCCTGCCTCAGCCTCCTGAGTAGCTGGGATTACAGGCACGCACCACCATGCCCAGCTAATTTTTGTATTTTTAGTAGAGACGGGGTTTCACCATGTTGACCAGGATGGTCTCGATCTCTTGACCTCGTGATCCACCCGCCTCGGCCTCCCAAAGTGCTGGGATTACAGGCTTGAGCCACTGCGCCCGGCCCCCGGTTTTATCTATACTATATCAGTTTATGGGTTGAAGACTTTTTCCCTTAATAAGCAGCAGGAAGCTGTCCACTTCCAGTGGTGCTGACTCATGTAGCAACAGGAAGATGAATGATTCCTAAAGATGGGGGTTGTGGGGGGAAGGGGCATGATCCTCTTCCTTACCCTAAAGAGACAAATTCAGGACAGAATTACAAAGCAGTTTATGTGATGCATAAGTAAGCCATGGGTTAAAAATTTTTGTCCTTAATTAGTGCTTTTTAATTGTATTTTATTCTTTCCCTACTGGCTTACCCATTGAAAAATAATTCCTAATACCCACTGCCTTTTAAATTTATGTTTGCTTTCTCTGATTAAAAGATTAAAGAGGAATATCATGATATGCAGTCAGTATTAATTTCTGCTTGTAACTGGTGGTATGCAGGTGGGAAAATGGATAACTAGCCCTTAACCAATGATGGTTGGCACCAATCAGTTCTTATTGGTTGAATTGAAAATATTACTGAAGGGATATTAACTATTTAAGATATAACTTACTAGCTAAATGCATACATCGTTAGTATGTGTCATGAGTTTATTGTTGACTGAAAGCTGCTTTTTTAATTATCAAGGTTTGGAAAACATGTAGAGTCCTATAAAGAGAAATCCAGAAGATTTGAGAAGACAGGTAGGAGTGCTGTTATTTGGAGAATAGTTTCTGTGTGTGATGTGATCTCTCTGAGAGACCTTGAGGCGAAGAAGGGAGTGAACATAGATGAAGTGGCTGGCTGAGGTGGGAGGATTGCTTAAGCCCAGGAGTTAGAATCTGCACTCCAGCCTGTCTCAAATATAAATAACAGAGGTCTAACTAAAAATTATTACAATTCATTTTTATGTGTAGTTTATGGAACAGTTCTTAAAAATTCATAGAGTCACACTGTATTTAATCTACCTTGGGGTTCAAATTTACAAAAAGGACTTTTAGGCAATGATTTTTTGGAATGTAAAAGATAACTAATTAAAAATGAATCTTACTGAATTGTTAAGTCTTATGTAGGGCATCAAGGACTTCACTAGCCCACCTGTAAATTAACGGATAAAAACTATTCAGGTTAAACAAAGCAGGTATAAAGGAAGTTGGATGGACCCCTTTTGCCAATATGCAGATTTATCATTTCTAGAAGATGTACTTTAATAATGACCATTTAAAGACCAAGACTGTCTATTTGAAAATCACTTTTGGTATCTAATTTCTTGCAGGATAGTGCATCTCTAAATAGTTGGTAGGCAATTGTTTTGTGTCTTTAAACATACTTTTAGGAACTTACGGCATTATGCAGTGAGCTGTCCTTTCCTCTGAATCTTGGAGGTGGAAGGAAGCTTAGTTTGAACAAGCTTATCTTGTACCTGACATTGCTTTATGCCTTGTGATAGAGCAATAGATTGAGATACATATTTACAACAATTGATGAAGTTTTTATTGGTTGTGAAGGTACTTTGCACACATATGAATGACCTGTCATGGATCGCACAGATACTTTCTTTTTGTGCAGTAGCTATAGCCACTTTAAAAGATATAGATGTTATATAGTAAAAATGCTACAAACTCAGAGCCTTTTAAAAAACATTTTTGCCTCTTGAGAATTGCTGTCTTAATGCAGTATTTCTCAAAGAACTTGTTTGCAATGAAGCATCCTTTGAAGCATGTGAAATGTATTTTTCATTACCATCTCACATGTTATGCGCCCTTAACTCCATTTCTAGGAACTCTTTCTAACATTTAATGAAATCCTCGGCAGCTAACTCTATGCCACAGAGATTACCATGGGTTAGCCAAAATCTTACGAAATGTTCACATGTTCCTGGAAAAACCAATGAGGAGCTTATAGTGACTGGAAAACTAAAGGCCTGACTTCTATTGATGTTGCATTTCTGTAGTACTGCCATATTTGGACACTTACCTTACAAATACTTACATGTTGTTTTCTTCATGATGTTCGTCTTGAGGTGCTTAATTATGCCAGCAGTATGCTTTGTGTTTCTCAGCCATGAAACAAAATGGATATTATCACAGGATGCCTGTATTTCCAACAAATATTTAATGAATGCCTATTAATTACCAAGAAGTTTTCCAGGTTCTGGGGATATATAGCAGTTAAAACGCGCGCACGCGTGCACACACACACACGCACACACACACACACACACTCTTTCTTGTTTGGAATGTATGTTCTTTTCTGTGCATACCAAGAGAAGAAGAAAACAAATAGAATTCTATCCCTGTTTTTATGGATGGGAATAACAATTTAATATTGTTTATTCTAGAATATAAGTCAGAGAGAATTAGATTAACAGAGATAGTTTTGGGCTATAGTGTTCAAAGCTTTGTGTAATTAACTAAGAAGTTTGCATTTAATTCACTTGTGAATGTGGAGCTAATGAAAATTTAGTGAATATTTTGAGGAGAATAGTAGCATTATTGCTGCTAGGCTTCTGGAAAGATGATTCTTCCATCAGGGTATACAGTAAAGTATAGTCTGAATTGTAAATAAAGAGTGGTTAAAATTAAGTCTGGCAGGATTTATTATAGCCTGTTATAGACAATACATAGATCCACAAATGGATAGATCAATTAGGAGAGTATCACAATATTTTAAGTTGCAGTAATAATCACCCAAACCAATATACTGGCACCAAGAGATATATTTGAGACAAAAAGTAGAAATATCAACTTATTAAAACACTTAGAAACTGCATGCATAGGGTGACATAACAAGGTAAGTCTTGGGTGACTCAAGGTTTCTATCTTGCAGTGGAAGGAGTAGTGGGCTTGTGGACAAATATAGATGTTAGTCATTGGGAGAACAATTTAAGCAAAGTAGAAATGGCTTAACAAGTATACTTGGAAATGAGGTAGTGGATAGGAAGTGAGGAATTAGAGTCTGGTAGGGCAGTCTTCATTTTAAAGACATTTGTAGGGTAAACAATCACAAAGGTATTGTGTTGGGGGGAGCAGGAGCAGAGGAAAGGTTTATCTTTTTTTTCTGTCTCCTCCCACTCCCTTTTCTAAGCACAGAGGATACCTGAAAACTTTTATAGGAAGAGAGAAAGGAGCCAGCCTACAGAGAGAATCTGCAAGTGAAAGAGAAATTTGGTGCATAATTGATTTAAAAAATGTACTACAATTGGCATTGAGTCACTTTCATGAAAAACGGGTAGAAGATTTGCTTTGGTAGAGAGGGTGATATGTTTAAAACTCAGAGAAAGGCATTAAAGAAGAGGGAATTGAGGAAGTAGAGGGATTTTGAGTTGGTGAGGAGGGCAGCTGTGTAATCTTACAGCAGTGGGTCTCAATATTCTTGGCAAAGTTTTTGAAGACGGAACAGCATTGCTAAAAGATAACAATAAAAATGAAAACTGCTAAGTTGGTACAACTGTACATAATAAATGAATTTGATATTTGCTCTTCTGTAATTTTCATAGCACTTTTCTCCTGGGCTGAACAAACAGTTTATAAACGTTTGGCAGCTAATACTTAGCAGGAAGTCTCATGAGCCAACTTAGTAAAAAGAATAAAAGAATCAGATACCAAGACCAGTTTCATGAACACAGTGTAGAAATCAAATTGTGATACTGTCCTTTGGCTTTTTTTCCCATATTATCTTAAGGAGGATCTCTTGAGTGCACAGAAGTCCTGGACATTTGGTTCAGATATGTTACTTGTATATATAACTAATACATTAAGCCTAATGTGCTTCAGCAAGTATTAATAATATGCTATTAGGATTGTTATAGGCTGTGAAACTCCCTTAGGTTTATCTAAGTATAGAGGTGAGATAAAGTTACAATTTTATTATCTTTAGTTCATTAGCAGTTAAATACGGTGTTACTTTATGTATTGTTGATTGTATGACTTGCAGGTTTTTATAGTGGTATTGATGTATTTAGGGTACTCTTCTAGGGGAAGATGGTTTTATGTATTTGAGTTGATTTCAGCATCGTGGTCTTATAGCACCATAAGAACTGAGAGGTCAGAATTCTCTGAAATTGTTGAAGGCCTGCGAATCACAATGTACCAGCTTAAGAATGTAGTCACTAAGATGTGACAGAACTGTGCCTTCTTTTCTCAGACTTCTTTCACTGATTATTAACTAGGTGCAGTTGTTTTTGCAGAAGAGAAACAACACCTCTTTTCCATTGGCTTTAGTTGAAAATTAATGAGAATTTATAAATTTTTCTTCTTCTCCATATTCATTTTTATTATTGTCATTATCACTTATTTATGTTTTTTAGAGAGTGGATCTCTCTGTGTTGCCCAGGCTAGAGTGCAGTGGCACAATCATAGCTGATTGCAACCTTGAACTTCTGGATTCAATCCTCCTGCTTCAGCCTCCCAGGTAGCTGGAACTACAGGCGCAAACCACCATGCCTGGCTAATTTTGTAGTATTTTTGTATAGACAGGATCTCATTATGTTGGTCAGGCATACTGATTTTAACTCACACTATCAACTATATCCCTGAAAAGGAGGAAATTATTTATTTTGACTAAAAATGTTTTAAAAGTTTAAAAACATACAAGTTAACAATAATATAAATAGTATGAATATTAATAGTGGAGTAAATATTGGTGTATTAACTGTGATTATAAATTCTTGTACAATACAATCTCATCTTGAACTCAATTTATTGAACTTTTTAGTAAGTTTGTCAGTCTGAAGTTCACTTTTGTTAGTAGTATAAATTGCATTTTCCAGAGATAGTGTATATTACTATTAAAATGAAGATCTGGGACAGAGAATTTGAATAGTGAAGAGAAGTAATTATGTTTTTACAAATGTTAAATTTTTTTTAGAATTATCTATTACACATATACAGTTATATTCATGTTAATTATTGTTACTAAAAAACAATCCCCAAAGAATTCTATGAAGTAATAAAGATTTTTCTATGAAGAGTATTTTATAATAAAGAATTTTCATTGTAAGTTTTTCGATATATCAGATTTGTTTATCTTGTCATTAGATAAAATTAGTGGAATTTGCTACATTTTTAAAGCTAAACACATAAGTAAAATTATTGTATGTTAAATTATTAGAGATGGTAATTATTTATATGCAATAAAGCACATTTTACTATTGCTCTTAGAAACCTCTTTAATGCTTTTCGGAAGGCACTGTTTTGTGATGTTTAACATATGCAGTCCTTGGTGACAGAGTACCTGAATTTATTAAATAGTTTTCTTCCCAGCTTGCTTTGTGAACTTGGACAAGCTGCTTAACCTTCTTAAGCTCAAATATCCTTACTGGTAAATGGGAGAATAATAGTATCTTTTTTTGTAAGGTTGCATTTAAAGATTGAGAATTTCTGTAAATCTAATAATGATTGTTGCTTGCCTCATTTCTTAAGTGTTTAATAAATACCCTAAATTAGACTGATCATTTTATGTTGTGTAAGATGACAATTTATGATTTATTTAGATAAATGTGATGTCAATTATATGTATATCTTGATGTTGAGTATTAATACTATCTGTACAAAAGTGACACTCTAAATTTCATTGCTTGATCTATAAAAAAGCAAGAATTACTCATAACCTATATTTGCTTATATTTGCCTTGAAAACTTGTTAGTGGATCATAAATATCAAAAGAGGCATCCTGTCTTTAATCTTCATATGTTTCACTTGTTATGATATGCATGTTTCTAGCATGTTTTTTTCCCACCTGATCTTGGATTTCTGATTTTATTGTTATTTTAAGAAACGCTACAGATAGTTTTTTCTTTAACCATCCACCACAGATAACCTCTGTTATTACCTAAAATCTGAACACAATTGCCTATATTTGTATATGTGTTCAAATAAATGTAGTGATTCCTTCTATTTTCTTATAATATAAAAATTAAAATTATAGAAGCATCTTTCTGCCTTTTTTCTTCTGTATTGGATATGAATAGCAATAAGAGTTACCTTAGAATCATAGCAGTTCAGAATCAAAAGGGATGATGCTAATGATATTAGGTAATGTTTATTGAATGGTTACTCTATGTCAGGTACTACATTAAGTGCTTTTATATTTGTTAGCTTAATTAAGATATCATAGAGCCTTTCATAATTATTTTTTAAAATGTCTCCTAGACATTGGGCCAGAAGTTGGTATAAAAATAACACAGGATTCCTACCCTCAAGGAGCTTCCATTAAGGAGGCAGAAGTGGGGAAAAAGTTGAAAGGAGTATAATAATGGTTATTAGTGGTCACCTCTGAAAGAATGACATTTAAAATGATACTATGTGTAATCCTGGCATGAATTCTGAATTTCAATTTTAGATTTTAACTGTCTTCTTATAGCTTTCTCCACCTGCCTTTTCATGATGATCTCATTGGAACCCATCACTTATAAATGTCTGTGTTGCCTTCTTTTCATTCCCAAAGCCATTATCAGTTTAAGCCCAAATTGCCCCTTGACTATAATACCCTGTTCTGATACCCCCACATTTAAGGATATCCTCATTCCAGTTTCCCCTGCACACTGGCTACAGATGCAGTAGATTTTCTCAGGCAGCTTCTCACTCTTCCATTTACTATATTTTAGCACTCCATTAGCTTCTAAATTAAATTAAAGGCATTTAACCTCCCTTTCTGCTTCATCATTCTTTGTCCTGCTTTTTGTTACTGAAATTTTACTACACTTAGATGGTGCTTCAATTATTTGCTTTCCCATAACCTGCCCTCTGCTTCCCCATAGCCCTGTTTCTGTACCTTTATCTTGACTGCTCACTCTCACCCCAGTTTTGAAAGCTATTTTTTTCATCAAAACACATTTTCACCTTCAGAAAATGTTTGTGTGGTCAGTTAATTAGTTAATAAGAGATTAAGTTTTGAAAGATTAATTGGAATATGATTTTAGATTCTACATGAATTCAACTGTTAGGCAGGTATTTAATGTAAAGACAAATTTAGAGAGTTCAGTAGCTGAGGCATGCCGCGTAGTAGTGCTGCATGTTATTCCTTTGATTAAAATCTCTTGGTGTTTTTCTTTACTTAAATAGGGAAGTTGAGGCTTCCTCTGTCATTAGGTCCCCATTTGCTTCTCCATCAGGCCTACCATTGTTCTGGAGAGTTTGCACATGGTTTTTAATCTGCCTGGACACATTTCCCTCCACTTTGTCAGATTAGGTGTCATCTCCTTTAGAGGCCCTTCCTCAGACTCCCTTA